ATTTTTGACTCAACTATGAACCATGAATGTGTTGAAAGTGAAAGTTACTTAGCTCTAGGAAAAGGTAAATGACCTAGGACTCATTATCCTGCTATGAGCAGGAAAGAACACGAGTTGACCTACAGGTAGAAGCCTGTGTAGAGCATCCCTGGCATGTTTGGTACTTTACAGCAGGGAGAAAAGCATCAAAGGGGTTGAATAACCTCTGTTTCCTTGGGCTAAACAAATTAGGTGGGATGCACTTTATGACCTGTAAGATAAGAAGCAAAAACTACACCATCTCTTTAATATTGTGTCCTCTGTTTCCTCAATGGGATATGGCAGACAGAGTTTTTTTTAAATCACCAAAGAGTTAAAGATTTACATAGCTATATAATTGTGTGTTAAATTTGTGAAAGAGTAATTAATCTGTGTTGTGTGTTCCTGTGTATGCACTCCTGCAAAGCTTGCTGGTCTAACTGATCCAAGAAGCTAGTCAGAACCTAGCAGATGTGATGAGGTCTGTGATGAATTCCCTACCTGTTAGGCAAGGAAAAGCCTAGAAAAGTAGGCCCAGGAAGTTTGGCAGCCATTTTGGAAAGGGTGCCGGCGGCATCCATTTTAAATTTCATTTCCTGAAGGGGGCATGCTCAGGAACAGCTTGGAGGGAAATGAGGGGAGTTAGTGATTGGCTGGGAGAGAGTGGGTGGAGCTTAACTTGGAAAAGAAAAAAATTGACTTTAAGGGTGTGTTTTAAAACCCTGTCAGCTCAGATTGAGTCTGGGTGTCAAAGAAGAAAGAGTTAGGAATTTGGAGTGGAGAAGAGAATAGTGATAGAGGCCTGAAGTTGATCAGTTAGCTAGTAGAGATAGCTAGTGAGAAGATTTTACAGCTATTAGGGAAGATAGCTGGTGGAGGAGTGAAGAGATAGATCCAGGCTAGGACTATCTGTGGTGGAGTTTAGAATTGCTTGGCAGAGAGGAATCCTGTCAGTAATTTCTGGAGGGAGAGAAGTGTGTTAATTGTAACTAAGTTTGAACTGCTTAAAGAAACCACATGCTTTTAAGTTATTACTTCAGAACAGCTAAGCTTAATGCCTGTTTTGTTCAAGTTCTCTTAAATAAGCATCATGGTTTTATTGTTCACATCATCTGTCTCACGTGTGCCTCTGTGGGTGAAGTTTTAAAAGCAATTTCCTGCAGCAATCAAAAGTCTAATGGTGGCAGCGCATATTTTAAAAGAGTAATCTTTTCAGTGCTACCTCAGAACACAAGCCTGAGTGCTAATCCAGCACACTCTTGCCTAAGATACTTCAAGTAAGCCAAGAGTTTAACTTTCCTTTAAAGTTTGGTGCGTGCCAGAGCTCTTTCAAAAGGTTTTCCGGCCAGAAGTTTGTTCCAGCTTATTACAGCTTCTGCTTTTGATTTTTAATTAGAGAAGCCACATCCTACCACAAGTCGTGTACAGCTGCTGTTTTTATTTATGTGTTGTTTTTTTGATAATGTTGTTTATCGTATTGTCTATGTGTTTTTAATTGCTTGTATTGTTGTTACTATTGCTTGTATTGTTGTGTTTGGGCTCAGCCTCATGTAAGCCACACTGAGTCCCTTGGGGAGATGGTCGCGGGGTACAAATAAAGTGTTGTTGTTATTTATATTGGCCAAATAGCCTCTATCATTATAGGTGGTTGTCAGTTGGTGGGATTTTATTCTCCAAATAAGTCTCAACCATTTATAAGTTGTAGCAAGCACTGGGATTTTGTTCCCAAATAAGCCACAATCCTTTATAAGGTCCACAGGAAGTTTCTAAAAACTTAGAGAATAAAGCCATTTATCTTGAGGACCCTGTATGTTCAGGTATAAATCAACTTCAAGAATAAGTTGGAGACAGGTTTGGTGAACAAAATTATGAATATTGATAAGATCCATGGATAAGATAATAGGGTCATTCCACTAAAAAGAGAAAGCACCATTACCACCTTGGGGTCAATTGCCCCTGGCTGCTGCCACCATTTCCCAGACCAGGCATTCAATAAGGACAGAAGCAGTGCCATGACAGAAAGAGTTGAAGGTCTCAATGCTTGTTTAAGGTTTTCCAAGGAAAGCCCTTTCCTTTCATCATGCAGAGGAGGAGGCAGTTCATTTTCTGATAAGAGTAATGCTACTGTACTTACACTGACCCATGGTAAGTTTTTTGAGTAGACTTATTGATTAAAATTACTAGACTTATGCATGAGCATATAGGGTAGTTATTTTATATGTCTTCTCTCCACCTGGCCTATCCATTTTGCTTTAACAGAGGCATACTATGACAACAATATGTAGTGAGGGTAGGGTCATTCTCCCAACTATTTTAATATTTCAATTTTCTTGGGAGCAATTTATTGAAACACGATAAATATATATATTCAAATAAGATGTTGCCACAATAAGGATATCATGTGGAAGGGGAGTATCTTAGCCTCCCACACTTTGGCCACTAGCCCCAGGGATGGAATAGCATTTGCATAGGAAGTAGCCACATGATATGTCCTCCTGTTATGGCCTTCCCATGACTTGCATTACTGGGACAATCCAGGAAGCAACCACAGGAAGGCTGTAACTCTTCTAGATAACTTACAAACAAGGCCGGTGAAGCATAGAGTGGGGCAGATGTAAAAAGAAAACCTATTTTTAAAAAAACAAATGAGAGAAGTCAGGTTGGCTTTAAAACTGAATTCTGCATGCTAAGTTGAGAATTGAAGGACCTTCGACAGGTTTGACCAGGTGTTGCCTCTGTCATCACTAAAAAATAATATTAAACAATGCTTCTGTTTATTATTCTGTTTCCATGTCACTGAGCAATGCTTTCTTCTAGAGAATGGCAAGAGGCAAATGTAGATACGGAGCTACTTTGACTTCATTTTCCCTGGTGGCTTCCAGCCACAAACAAGTGAACAGAGCACACAGTCCTTGTGTTTCATAACCTCTTCAGCCGGTCCTATTTCAATTAGAGGAAAAAAGAAGTACTACAGATTAGCTGTTGAAAAACATCTTACGTGGCAGCATGATGATTTGCATGTGCTGTAGGCGTCTGGGAAGGCACCATTGCCTCGTTCTTGTCGACATTTTTATATGTCCTTAAAAGGGCGCAGGGAGGAGTGAAGGAACAGGGAGTTTGCTCCATTTATTGTAAAGTAAGAAATAAAGCTATTTGCTAACAACTGTAGCTGACAACTGAAAATTGAACAAGATATTATTTTGTTCTTTTAAAATACCATGGGTCTGAAAATTTTCCAGTAATGATAAGAAGCTTGATAAAAGCATTGTGTCACAAGAGTGTGTTTCCTGACCAGAAGTTTAAAATGTAAATAAATTTGTTTCAAATTGTTTTAGTCTTGTAGATAGCTTGATTGCATTTTAACTAACTTTTTAAAGCTTATGTCTTTGCAGATACTTTCAATTGAATTTGTTTTAATTTTTCCAAGCCTCATTGAACCTCAGGTTTGAGGAAAGAGCAGGATATACTCTACCTTTCTTAATATGCTTTTTATGTTCTATTTCTTTGTGCATTTATATGATACCTTTCAAGGCTGCCCTTTAAAGGAATTATTAGCTTAAGATGTTCCTAAGAAGAATTTCCGTTGCTTGGAAGAAAGCAATTCTTCTCCAACTTTTATTTTTAAAACTTGCTACTTACAGCATTCCACCTATTATCACGCTGCATAAAGCTGAACAAATCTAGATCTCTGTCTTCTGTTTTTTAAATGCACTGTATTAAAAAGATCTCATTTTATTTTGTCTCCAATGGTACAAATTAAGACTGTTTTGGTGTTATTCTTTCACTGGGCTCCTCCCTTTTGTATTTTTAAGTTGCTTCTAAATGGAATTCTATAATTTTACAATAAATGTTATCTCGGGTTTATCTTATATTTCCCAGATAATTAAAATATCAAGTATGCCTCATTCTACATATTATTTTTGCTGTAAAAACGTATTTTTTCCTTCAGCAATAACAAAGGAAGCAGATAGAATATCCCATATAAACTCAAGTATAAGCAGAGCTTTTCATCCTTTTTTAGGCTGAAAAGGCCCCCCTCAGCTTACACTTGAGTCAAGGTTATTTATTGTTTACTCTGTTATTATTACTATTTTATTACATTTATTATTTTACTCTATTTATTATTGATATTATTACACTTATTATTTTGCTCTATTGTTATTACATTTATTATGTTATGCTATTATTACTGTTATGATTACATTTCCATTATTTTACTCTATTATTATTATTATTATTATTATTATTATTATTTATTGCCTCAATTAATGTAATTTTACTGGTATCTATTTTTATTTGAAATTTACCAGTAGTTGCAGCATTTCCCACCCTGGGCTTATACTCGAGTCAAAACATTTTCCCAGATATATATATTCAGGTCAGTTTATACTTGGGCATATACAGTACTTTCTGTATATACACATTTTCATTCTCAGGTATCTTTATCTGAGTGCCTTGAAAAAAACTGGGTTCCCATAAGTGTTTATGTGATTAATAAAAGTGAAGCATTAAAGGATTTCTAGATAGCTGCAATTCAAGTTCTGGAATTAATAATTTGAGTGCTGAACAGAATTAATAAAAAAACTACATGATCTTTGGATATTAAAAAATATATAATGTCACGTCTTTTCCACATTTTATAAAATTATTGTTTTGATAGATAATTTCAAGACTAGAGATTTCCTAATTTACCTAAGAATAAATACATAATTGTTTGGCTGTTCAACAAGGGTACCCATATATCTATAGCTCAGTTTACTTCTGTGTCATCCTCAAAAGTACATCTGGCCAAAGTTGACCTGTTTTGTTTGATTTTAATCTTTTTCTTTTCTCCACGCTGGAGTTCTTTTTCCTGAAACTGAAACAAGACCAGACTATACATGCTCAGTATCATCAATTATTCTTGCTTCTTTTCATGTATTATTTCTGATAGCACTATGTAGCAAAAATAATAATGAGCATTATTCTTCCTTACTCCATAGGATGGTTCCTATAGATCATGGATAAATACTGAAGGAAAGCATTTTTGCTGAAGTGTGTAAAGGAGAAAACATGTTGCATTCCATGTCAATTTTGCGCTTCTGCTTTCACGTGGACCACAGATATTTCCCTTGATATACAAGAATGTGTTCTTTCATTACCAGTAAGTATCACACTGGAGTTCACATTTATTTTATTTTCACGCACACACATACAAACAATGCACACAGGCAGAAGAATTCACTAAGAGTAAAGTCAGAGCGTGCAGTTTGTAGATAGCAGCCTAGATATTTTAGTCAAGAATATTTAAATGACAGAGTAGAAAAAGAAATTCACAATTGAGCTGTGAAAAAAGGCATCTACTTGCTTTGCTCAGAAGAAAATACCAGAGCAATTGGTCACAAAGTACTTGAATTTTCTTTAACGTTACTTTCATTACAACATAATGGCACACAAAAATTGAGAGACACAGCCCAGTAGTTAATTTAAAAGAAGCCATTAGTGTTTCTTAATTTCAAAAGAAGTTAAGGTCGATAAAAGCCCTTTTTAAAAAACTGAATTACAGCTTGCTCAGGTAAGTCTTTTCATAATTATTCAGTGATTGAGTGAGATGAGCTCCTTAATTTATCTGGTGCATTCTGTTTAAAGAAGTCTTTGTGAACATGCTCTTGAAGTGACAATCTAATGCTGTCTTTTTCAACAAAAGGCACAGAAAAAGGGCTACTGCCTGACCTGTGTCCAGAATGCACAAAGGATAGAACAGTTGAAGTCTAAGTAGTTAAGATAGGTAAGATTTTAAAGGAACATTCCGCTTCTGCTTCTAACAGGCTTGATAGAATTACTCTAGCTACCCATTGAATCTTTCTACAGGTTAAGAATCACTTGTCCAAATTCTGAAACCCAAAATTATCAACATGGATTGCTGAGATAGTGCCAGCTTTGCTTTCTGGTGGTTCAATGTACACAAAAATTGTTTCATGCACAAAAGTATTTTAAATGTCATGTAAAACAGGGGTCCTCAAACTTTTTAAACAGAGGGCCAGGTCACAGTCCCTCAGACTGTTGGAGTGCTGGATTATAATTTGAAAAAAAAAACATGAATGAATTCCTATGCACACTGCACATATCATATTTGTAGTGCAAAAAACACTTTAAAACAATACAATAATTAAATGAATAATAATTTTAACAAATATAAACTTATTAGTATTTCAATAGGAAGTGTGGGCCTGCTTTTGGCTGATGAAATAGAGTTGTTGTTGTTGTTGTTGTTGCTATGTGCTTTCAAGTCATTTCAGACTTAGGTTGACCCTGAGCAAGGGGCGGGTAAATGACCTTGGAGGGCCGTATCCGGCCCCCGGGCCTTAGTTTGAGGACCCCTGGTATAAAAGTACCTTCAGTCTATGTGTATAAGGTGCATATCTTATTATGCATAGAACTAAATATAAATATTCAAAAATCTGGGGGGAAAACCGAAATCCAAAATATTTTTGATCCTAAGGGATACTCAACAAGTATAGGACAAAGCAAATGTTGTCCTATACTCAACAAGTATAGGACAAAGCATTCCCACAATTTATATAAAACTATACTTTGTCCTATACTCAACAAGTATAGGACAAAGCAAATGTATCACTTAATGGCTCCTCGTGTTGTCTTTTTTTCTCTAGTACTTAGTATCCTTCTTTGGATGTAAAGAAGACAAAAATATATGTTTTTTCTGCAGACTATGGAAAGCTATGTAAGTCCTTCAACTGGGGTTTACTCCATGCCAAAGCTAAACAAACCCTTTAACTAGTTGGAACCTGCTGTATCAACCAACATTTTTCTAACTAAAGGTTCTTATGGAATTGTTTGAACTTACAGTTCTTTCATGTTATACACAGAATGTCTTATGAAATTGTTTGAACTTACAGTTCTTTCATGTTACACTTTCTAACTATCAGTGGGCAAGTGGCTAAGAGTATTACATGAGAATGCAGCAAACTATGCTTAATCTCTACCTGGGGATAGTCATCTCAAGCATTACACATAACCAATGTTCAGGATATTAGATTTATCATAATATCTTAGGGATATCTGATTGAACTGGATCCATTAGTATGATATTAGTACATTTGACCTAGATGCAACCTCAAGCCAAGTGTGCCCAAAACATAAAGCAGGTATCATCTCTGTAACATTGATTGGTTTCTTTCTGTTTATGGTGTACAGTACTTGCAAGACATTTTGTTTCACAGAATACTTACCGCAGAAAGATTAATGTACTGGTGAGTGTTGGAGGGCAAATGCTGCCTCATCCTATACTACATCCTACCTCACATGTTGAAGCATGCTGCTTTGGACTAGCTTTATGTCTGAGTTGGAACAAGGAACAAAAGAAGATTATGTGTATGTGCATTCAAGTTGCCTGTTGATTTATGGCATACCATAATTTACTAAGCTAAAATAAGAAGTGTAGTTAAATCGTGATCACTCAATTAACTCAATTTATATATTGGACATTTCCCCTTGTTCTGCCACCAGGAAAAGATGAAAGGGTTGGTTGAATTTAGAAATCAATATAGAAATTGAAAAAGTAAAGAGATTTGGTGGGGCGGGGGTGGGGGGAATCATGGGATTTTGAAAGACATGCATGATGGATGATCTGGATGACAGAACTTGTTTTCAGAGAAAAGGGGGGCACAGTAATACAGGACAAATCAAGAGAACATTTTCATAGTTAGTATGAATAAGAGTTTTAAATTGTGGGAATGGAGAGGAAGGATTATATATTCACAAAGCAGGAAGCAATGTCATACTGAATTTGGGGAGATATTAAAATACGAAAAAAGGCTTTGAGCTCAGTGAACAGAGTGAATGTCAGGGACATCGTCAAAGGATACAAAAAGGATAGGAAGAGATCACTTGGAAGAAAGATCTGAAGCCCAGTCTTTAGACATAGAAGTAAAACATCCATTTAAAAAACCCAAAAGATAGTGCTTCAAGATGTAGGTGAAATGTTCTAGCTTAAAGCGTTAATAGAGTGCCATAAGTATAAAGGTAGTGCTGAACATGATAAGATTTGATGACACCCCTTAGAAACAGTAGAAGAAAACAATATCAAGCCGGTTGAGAAGACATCCCTAGAAACAATAAATGGAAAGGAAAGAAAGCAGATTCAGTTTAGAGGGAAAATACAAGCAATTAACAAGGAAACTTAATTGGTGACAGTTGTGGAAACTTGGACGTGAAAAAAACGTAGAGAGCAAAATGCTGTCAGCTTATCAAATGCAGAATTGCAGAATTACAGAATCTCCCTGCCTCCCCTTTTTTTTCCCAGAAAAGGATGTGCTGCACTTTGCCCACTCCTATTATAGTCTAAGCATATAATTAAAGAATGAGAAATACAGGAATGACTCCCAACACAGTTCACTTTCTATGTGGAATGGATGAATTGGGTAGAACAACATGGAGATAGAATCATAGAATCAAAGAGTTGAAAGAGACCTCATGGGCCATCCAGTCCAACCCCCTGCCAAGAAGCAAGAATGTTGCATTCAAATCACCCCTGACAGATGGCCATCCAGCCTCTGTTTAAAAGCTTCCAAAGAAGGAGCCTCCACCACACTCTGGGGCAGAGAGTTCCCCTGCTGAACGGATCTCACAGTCAGGAAGCTCTTCCTCATATTCAGATGGAATCTCCTTACTTGTAGTTTGAAGCCATTGTTCCTCATCCTAGTCTCCATGGAAGCAGAAAACAAGCTTGCTCCCTCCTCCCTGTGACTTCCTCTCATATATGGTTTAGGACATTACTCAACTCAATAAGGGCCACATATACAAAATAAAATATCCATTATGCCAAAAGGGTTTGAATCCTTGGGCATGTCACACTCTCTCAGCCTGAAAGGAAACTACTGGTAAACCTCCTGTGAATGCATCTTGCCAAGAAACTATGATAGGATCCCCATAAGTGATAATCAGCTTGAAACACATTTTGCTGTTCGATCAAGGATTGAATAGGAGAGTAGATGATGATAGGATACTTACAGGAACAACAGTGAAAGGGGGATACTCTGAGGATTTGCCCATCCTTCCAATTAAGCATTTCATGAGAAAACAATGAGGTTCTCAAGTATTCTAAGGAAACAATAATGAGAGATAAGTAACAAAGAGATGAGCAGCATTGGTTCTCCCACTGATCTCTTTAAATATACCCTTCCTTGGCACAGCTTCCTCCTTTCATTTGTTCTCCCCCTGGTTCAAAGAATAAAAGACAGTCCTACATACTTAGCAGCTGTTTCTCTATTCCTCTTGATTTCGTACAATATGGACATAATGGGCAGGCAGTAGAGAAACGAAGGTATGTTTCATCATTATCAAGACTTTTGCCTCTTTGGCACCAGTTATTAACTCGACCACTATGTAATCATTTTGTATAGCAACACAAAAAGCTGCTTTTTGTTAGCAGTAAAGCAAAAAAGTCAAGATTGTTGCACTTTCTCTCCAATTAGTTGTCTTTATACAGGAACATCAAGAAGAAACATGCATAAATAAGCAATAGCAAAAGCTGAACAGAGCAGTTATCAAAATAGTAATCTATATGAATATTAACGTGACCAAGAAAAATGGGATAGAATTAATGTAGTCTCTAAATAGAACTAGCACAAGTAGGCCAACATTTTAAAAAGCAATAAGGAAGACTTTACTTTCTCAGTACTGGAACAGCACAGACTTCTGTCCAATAGGAATTATGCCAAACGAATCCATAGTTGTATCCTTTGCGAGAGGAAGACACTGCACAAATCTTCAGTCTAAACTCAGTGAATAGTTGATTACCATAAATAGCTGAGCAACGTTTTTGGACCTACTTTTGGTTATCTTCAAGAGAGTATCCTCAAAGACTGATTAGATGTGTGTGCTCAATCCCTGATGGTAAACAGCTATTACAAAACAGGAGACTTGCATGGGGTGTTCTGCCTCTCCATAAAAGCGAAGATAGTGCACATTTAACTACAACAAAGCTCTTTTAAAACAATGGAGTTCATACTGGGACTTTAGACATACAGTGTTCCCTCGCTACTTCGCGGTTCACTTTTAGCGGACTCGCTGTTTTGTGGGTTTTTGAAAATATTAATACAAATATTAAATATTTATGTCCAGTGGAAGTTAGGGAGGCCAGGGACCCCGGAAGTGCAGCGGCCTGAGACACAGCAAGGAAGGCCTACCTCCCTGGCCTCCACAGACCCCGGAAGTGCTGCAGCTTGAGGCGCAGCGGGAAAGGCCTGCCTCCCTGGCCTGCTGCTGCCTGTGTGGCTCCGGAGGCTCTGCAGAGGCCAGGGTGGCAGGCAAGTGCCCTTGGGATGGGCCAGGAGGTGGGTAAGGAAGCACTGGTAAGAAAATAACATATAAAATAATGTATAAATATTAAAATTAATGTGGTGTCCCTACTTTGTGGTTTTTTACTTGTTGTGGGTGGTCCTGGAATGGAACCCCCCCCCCCCCGATAAGTGAGGGAACACTGTATCATACTTACTCAATTCTAATGCTCACCTTTTTTTGACTAAATTACCTTCCCATAATTAGGGTGTGCATTAGATTAGCATAATATGGTAAATACCTTTTTGTATTTCAGGATTATGAAAACTGAGGTGTGCATTAGATTCTATGGCACATTAGACTTGAGTAAATACGAGTAATTAACAGTGCTCCCAATTCGCCTGAATTAACAAAACTTCTTTATTGTTCTACACAGTAGATTACATGAAATGTAAACTAGTACTCTGTGTCAAATAGCTTCTTTTTTGGCATACCATATAAATAGCTAACAGAGGAAATGCAAATGCTCCATATGAAAGGAAGCAAACTCTTGGCATGTGTGCATGTCTGAATTTATTTTATTTAACTTCCTTAAACTAGCATGCTCATTGTTTATTACATTTTGATTTTTTCAGGTTTTATGTAGAATATAATGTTAGCAAAGACATATGTGTTTTGCTTCAATATTTATTTATTGTAATAAAAGTAGTGCTAAACCAAAACCAAAAATTTCCTTCCAGGCAACATAAATGAAAGGTTCAAACACATGGTTTGTGAAGATGGCGCCAACACAGGTGTGTGTCTTCCTCTGGAAGCTGGTTTCACATGGTGGCTTAGATTTTTCCATCTTTGTATCTAGCACCATTTGAAATCAGTGTTCTAGGAGCAAGAATTACAGCACTGGATGTGGAAAGGAACCAGAAGCAACAGGATCTTGCCACTAATGGTAAATTTTAGTTACATTCATTTGGTGTCTATGCTTTTCTGAAATTATTTTCAAGCTATAACTTTAGTTGAGCTTAGTTTACAAGAACATGAAGCATTTGAGGCTAATGGTCCAACTAAGGACAAAGTATCATGGTTTCAATCCAAACAAAATCACATTATCATTCTAAAGTTGGTAGACTTGGCATCTAGAGATGTCCTCAGCGTCCCTAAACGACATTCCCCAGAATTCTGCAGGAGACTGTCACACAAAGTGACACGGTGAGAGCGTTCATTTTAGACCAGTAATGTGGTATCATAGTCTTACTTAGAATACCCATTGAAACCGTAGTGCTTTTTTCATCAGCTTTTTTCAACATGATTAAGTCTTGATACAACCCAACAGAAACAGGCTTTTCCACGTGTGTACATAGGTAAAGAAGAAGCTATGCCCCTAATCACTCCCTTTTCTTCCTCAAATAGATTTGAAGTAGATAAGAAGCTATGCTATCCCAGTCCAAACTCACATTTTTTCTGTCAAACCAGGAGGGTAGTGAGATGTCCCAAGCAGGAGGATCATAGGCCCCATCTGCACTGCCATATAATGCGGTTTGACTGCATTATATGG